ACATGACCTGATGTTTGTCTTCTTAATAACGCCAATGGGACAATACACACGTTTATTATTACATATAATTATTTTTATTGTTTTTTCTAAAAAGCTCTGAAACCCAACCTTGATTGATTATTTCAAAATATTATCTTGTGGACCAAAAAAACTCCATCGACTGTATGTAAGAAATTGACATCAGTGACAGAGACCAGGTGTGAAGCATCACAGATAACCAGGTGCTTGCTGGGTAAAAAAAGAAACGGGTCAAGCACACATCTCACAAGTCATGCTTTATCACTGAATTCCCTCTGAATTGAATCATCAAGTTTCAAAATGAACTGAATTAAATTGTACGTGAACATGGAGCAGAAACTAGTGCAGTTTATGGAGATTCGTCCCAGCAGACATGATGGAGAGACATAAAAAGAGAAGTTGATTTACTGATTGTTTCTTGAGGTATTAGACAGAATTCACCGTATCTTCACAACAGGATGAAGTCTTTACTTAAAGATCTGGTTCCTGTTGGCGGGGTTTCAGAGTTCAAGCTCAATCTTGATATCCATCTTTGCCTTATATGGATCCAGCAGGGGGCGTATTTCTTCAGTCAGAAACCTGGTCACCTAGGAACAAAAAAAAGTCAATGGACTTTACATTTTAAGATTATAAAAAAAATTGCCCTTAAAAGCCTGTAACCATGGAAACAAGTGCACATACATAAATATAGTCAATATTTTGTTGAAATTCATTTTGATCAGACAAAGTAAAGCATATTGAGAATAACAGACCGTTGACGTAGCAGGTTTCACACCTGTAAGATACAAAAGTGTTTACCTGTTGTGGAGCACGACCAATGAAAGTCTTGGGGTCCAACAGATCATCCAGCTGCCCCAGGATGGGGGCAAAGTATGGGTCTCGCTGCACTCTGGCCAGAAGGTCATTATCTCCACCTTCCTGTTTGACCACAGCTGCAGCTTCCTGGGACAGAACACGGATTTTCTCGTGGCAATCCTACGTCGGAGACAACGGAGACAAATCGAGACGTGTGGATGAGAATATTAAAAACCTTGACCTGACTTTTTGTTACAGAACACCTCCTCCTCCTCCTCCAACCTGTCTGTTTCCTCCAGCCTTCACCATGGCCATGATGATGTTCTCCGTGGCCATGAAGGGAAGCTCGTGGCGAATGTGTCTCTCGATCACTTTGGGGTAGACCACCAGACCCTCCGTGATGTTCTGCAGCGTGCTGAGAATGATGTCGGCCGTGAGGAAGGCCTCGGGCAGAGAGATCCTCCTGTGATGTGTTCAGGAACATCTTTTTAAATTTAACATGAGACAGTATCTGGAGACATCAATGCAAATAAATAAGAAGAACAAAGAGAAGAAGAAGCAGCAGGAAAAGGTGAAGAAGAAGATGAACGAGGAGATGAAGATTGACCAACTTCATCTTTTTTTCATTTGCTGACCTGTTAGCACTGTCATCCAGTGTCCTCTCCAGCCACTGCACAGATGCCGTCTGCAACGGGTCAGACATTAGCGCCACCAGGTGTCGAGCCAAGCTGCAGCAACGCTCGGATCTCATGGGGTTCCTCTTGTAGGGCATGGCACTGGAACCTTTAATGTTGATAAAACAATTAATTAATACAATCACTGCATTTGAAAAAACGCATTTCAATTCAACTCTATTGTGATAAACATACAGAGGAAAAATACATTCCTTTTTATTTTTAATTACCATTTCAATGTACATAAGAATACATCTATGTATTTTCATTTTTTTTTTCTATCGTATATGAGGTATGTACCAATCTGCTCCTTCTCAAAAGGCTCCTCGATCTCCTTCAGGTTGGCCAGCAGTCGGATGTCTGTGCAAATCTGCAGCAGAGAAGAACTGACTTAGATTGGAGCACCACTAGAGGGAGACATTTCCTTCTTCAACTTACCTTGTGGACAGTGGCTCCCATACTGGCCAGGCTGGACAAACAGTCCACATCCACTTTACGGCTGTAGGTCTGACCAGTCACTAAATAAGCTCTGGGTGAGAAGAAAATAAACTTTTATTATCCCGTGTTAGCCTAGCAAACTCAGGAAACTCAAGCAGCGGAGAGCAGAACTTACCTTTTAAAACCTGCCATTTCTGTCACCATTCTGTCAAGCTCTTCCACCTGGTGGACAAAGGTGGGAAACTCAGTTTTCCACTTCTTGTAAATTAAATGTCAAACTTTTTTTTTTTTTACCTATGATTCATGTCGAGGTCACTCTCAAACTCTGACAATCTGCTGCGGAGCTTTTCTTTCCCCAACAGCCACAAATCAGATAAATTATGTTATATACCTTTTCATGTTCTCCCTGAAAGAGCTGCAGGAAGCTGGCCTGGGTCCCGGTGGTCCCTTTGACCCCTCTAAACCGTAGATCATCACGAGCTCTCTGGACGTTCCGCATGTCCATGGCCAGGTCCTGCAGCCACAGACAGGCCCGCTTCCCCACTGTGGTCAACTGGGCAGGCCTGCAGAAAACAAACAGATACAGAGATATACTGCAGTACACGCTAAATACGTGATGAAAGATGTGCAGTTTGACAAACTCACTGGTAGTGGGTGAAGCCCAGTGTGGGCAGGTCAGCGTACGTCTCTGCAAAGTTTGTCAGTCTGTCAATGACTCTGGCCAGCTGCAAAAAGCAACACGAAAAATTAGATCAAGTGATTTTAAAAATCAGTATTTTTACACATACATACAGTAACAGATACAGTAACAGATACAGTAACAGATACAGTAACAGCCGGCATTGACTCATTCTAATCTGATTAGCCATGACTTAAAGTAATGTTTAAGGATATGTTCACATTTTATGCACACAAAAAAGTCAAGTGAGGACAGAAATGTGTCCGTACAACAGAGACACTTGTCTGCCACTGGTGTGGAGTCTGAATAAAGTCCTGGGATACAACCATACCTGCTCAGATTAAACCAGATTTTGGGGACATCAGCCCAACCTGTCCAGCAACTAGTGTTTGAACTGAGTAGTACATGAGCCTTTGTGCATTTTCTTAAAAATAAATAAATAAATAATTAAATCATGATTTAAAAAGGCATAAAATGTTGTTACTTCTACACTGATGGCGGCTGAAAACATCTGAGACACAGAGCTCAGTCACAGATGCAGCTCTGATAAACTGCTCCTGTTCAGTAGCCAGCAGCTGAGCCTCACCTTAGGCAGGAGAATGTCAAAGCCGTCACGCAGCATAATCAGATCCTGGAGGGACAAACAAAACATGAAAGTGTTTGAAAACGACAGAAAACTGGCCAAAAAAACAAGAAACATAAGGAATGTGAAAAAAGAACGACTTAAATATTTACAGTGTTAATAAACAAAACATGAAAGTGTTTGAAAATGACGGGAAACTGGCCAAAGAAACAAGAAACATAAGGAATGTGAATAAAGAACGACTTAAATATTTACAGTGTTGTCTCCCACATAGCAGGAGGTGGCCCCCAGATGGATGATGGGAGCAGCGGTGGGACAGCAGTGTGCGAAGGTGTGGACATGAGCCATGACATCGTGTCGGAGTTTGCGTTCCTCTTCAGCCGCCATGACAAAGTCAATGTCCTCCGAGTGGCCCTCCATCTCCAGGATCTGAGCGTCGGTGATGGGCAGACCCAGAGCCTGTGGACCAGGAGGGACGGAAACAGAGACAAAACATCAACATAAATAATTACAGTTGTACAGACACATGTGACATGAAATATAACATAAAAACATGACATAATATAAAAAACATTTTGCAAGGCCTTTAAAGGTAACATGAAGTATTTGTCAAAAGATAATTCTTTCTTCATTCATGGTTAACCAGAGCAGATACTCATGATGTTGGTCGTTATTTTGTGTTGTCCTCGTGAGAAGACACATGGTATCTTGATTAAATTAGAGTTTTCTTCATTAGGTAAACAGTCATGAGATGACACAATGGAATGGACCAGTGGAGTAACTTAACCCCTAAACAAACTTTAAAACATATCAGTGTGTACAGTTCAAAGGGCAGTGAGGTCAAACAATGTTGTAACAACGGTCACGCTACTCAATACTCAATACTGTAGTTTTAATGCCAAAATACAAAATAAAAACAAGGAAGCAGCCCAGCTCATGGAAGAAGTTTGACAGTAACACAATATCTTTACTACCAAGACCTGCAGGGGGCTCCACATACCCAAAGCTCTCTGATAAAAGGAAGAGAAAAGTCTGACCATCCTGAAACAGTATGTAGGCATGTGTGTTTAAGGAGTCATGTGAAAGTTGTCAGTAATCAGATACAGACCACTTTTAAAAAGAAATGACTGACCCTTCTGTGTTAGACTGCAGTGACACGTGACAAAAAAAACCCCCCACAGTGTCCAGTTAAATGTCAATCCACTGCTTTATTACACTGGTTTATATCGTTTTACTTTTTTAAAAAATACCACCACAGATCAATTTAATTCAGAAAAATAATTGTATAAAAGCAATAAAAAATATGTTTTAAATTAAATTTTCTCTCTATGAACTTGTTCATGTCCATTTTAAATTATCTCTAATCTCTATACAATCTGGATTTAAACAGTAATTATCCAGACGTGTTCTTAAATGAGCAGGAGGAGAATGTTTATTCTACATCCATGTCAAAACGTGATTTATTTGGTCAGAAGACAAACACAAATAGACGCCTCAAAGGCCTCAAATATAAAACTAATATCCTGTGTGTCTGAATCATTTTTACCTGTGCAATATCGTTCATTTTGTATCTCTAATATAACTAAGTAATTACAGTGGGCAGCTTGGTGCTCTCTCCACAGTTCTAATTTTGGAGCAGGAAACACGAGAAGAGTCCGTGAAGGTCGACAGCTGTACTTTGTAAGACTTTGAAAGTATGCTTATGAACTGTGTGTGTGTTTGAATAAGTACGAGCAGCAGCACCAAACAGAACAACGTTTCAAACCTTCTCAGCCTTGGCCAGATAAATCCACAGCTTCCTCCAGGTGGTGAATTTCTTCCTGTCGCTGAAGTTGTACGCCATTTCCTTGCTAGCATACCTGGACACCAGCGGTGAGCGGTACTTCATGAACTCGTCGGCGGATTCCATGTTTGTCGAAACCGGTGGTGTCCACTACTACAGTCGAAATAGTCTGCCGGTACCCAGCACTTCTGCATACAACTGTAAACACGCACGCACGCGCGCGTTCACACAACTCCCGCCGACTTCTTCTTCTCCTCCTTTACGACATCAGGCATCGATTTGCTGCAGCACTGCCACCGCCTGGTTTTAAGCCGTCACTGACTGTCGCTATCACCCTGAAACAAGAAATATCTTATATTTACATTTGTCTTTTCCATTTTAGCATTAAATAAAACAGACAGTTGGATATAGTTGGATATTACAAGATATTTAACAAGGTTATCATATACGTATTTATTTAGAAACACCTGCTTTAAAAATGAAACGATTCATATTTTTATACAAAGATTATTCGAGATGGAACATTAAACCCCCCCCCCCCCCTGAAATTATAAACTACAAAAAAGCTTTAAATGTGGGCTTTTCGTATGTTATCGGTGTTATTATTAACTACATTTATACTAAAATCATTCGTCCGTACGTCACTCGGGGTTACTTTGTGGCCTACTCCTTGTTCTTCGGACTACCCGAGTAACTTCTGTCCTTTGTCGGGTGCTGGTGGTCACTACAGCAGTAGCCCACTTCATAATCACTGCCTGTTTATTTCGAACTGTTTATTTCAACTGATAAGGATTTCCACTGCAGCAAACATCCAAGTGGGACAAGGACTTCTAACGATGGATCACGTGCACACCACTCTCTAAAATCCGCATGGCACAGACGGTGCGTTTTGCGACAACTAAAATGAACATACGGCATTGGGTCTGCATGCTTACATCAGTGGTCATTAATACGCTGAGTCGAGCAGGGATGTTTCCCGGTCGCTTATCACCTTAAAAAACTGCAGCACCAGTTCACGTGTAAGCTGCTACGTGACGTAGAAAGGCTGCAGGGCGAAGGAACCAGGATGTTTATGTTAAAAATAAACATTTGCTTTATTTGTTTTCACAACTGCTTTCTTACGTAATTTCCCATGGGTCCGTGAACGCTTCTCGCAATAGAGCGGATACAATTAACCCTCTGAACATCCAAGGATGATCTCACACATTCAGGGAGATTTATGCAAGTTTTCCCCTCATAGGTTGATGTTCCCTTCAATATGTAGTCGTTTTTACCTGCACAACAACCCCGTAATTGTGCTCTATTTATAGAAGACTCCATGTGTTATCTATTTGCCAGCCTTAGATGAATATTTAAATGTATTCATGCAGTATAAATGTTCCTCCTCTGCCTCACATGTTTCTGTGTCTGCAGGCATCATGGAAGCAGCTGTGCCTGAGCATGATGCAGCAGCAGTAACTGGGGAATACATCCAGCTGTAAACAGAGAACAGAGAGTGCTCCCTTTCTCTCCCCCCCTCCCCACTCTCTCTCTCTCTCTCCTCTCTCTCTGTCCATCCATCCTTCTATCTGTCCTCCTGACTGCAGTCTACATACAGTGGCACACTCCTCCTCCTGCTGCTCTGTGATACAACCGAGTGGGAGGAACAGCTCTCTCTGTTTTGCCTCAAAAAAAAGGGGGGGAGAAAAAAAATGACGAGACGTCTTCCTGGATCTGCTGCAGCAGAGGTGGATCTGGCGTCCTGACTTCTGCACTGCACAATCCTTCCACTTTGCTCAGACTGACTAATGTGATAAAAAGAAGGAGAGTTGGAAGACACGGAGGAGACAGAAGGCACAGAGAAGAGGGCGGAAAAGAACCATAGTAGGGTGAGGGGGTGTGGGTGATATCAGATTATAAACAGAAAAGGAGAGTTATATGGCAGAGGGGGAGAGAGAGATGGAGGGAACATTAGATAGAGTGAGTCACACCGCAGTAGGATGAGGGCTACGGAGAAAGACGGAGCCAAGAAGCATTCAAGGTGCCACTCTTTTGCCCGACACTCGGGATCTGTTTCTTTGTAGGAAGGGGCAAGAAGAATAATCCACCGTGGAGACGAGAAGGAGAAGAAGAAGGGGGGTCGAGGAGGAGGAAGCCAGGGGTTCCACACACAAGATGGCTGCTGTGTCCTCTGCTTCTGACTCTGGTAAGTGGGTCTTCATTCTCATTGCTGGCTCCTCATCAGCATCACCTCACAACATCCAGGCTAAACTTTGACAGCCATGACAATGTTTTGATGTGACTCTGGGAAACTGTTGCACGAGACAACTTCCTGTGTTTGGCCACTCACATGGACGGTGTCAGCAGCAGTGTGTAGCCTCCCACTGCATTCTGCCCTTCTATCATCTTCGCAGACATCTTACTGTTCACGTTCTCCGCAATGTCAATTTATCAAAACATTAAAATGTCTGCTTCTCGTTTCGGCTGAAAAGTGAGTCACCGTCGACCATGTCCTGCTCTGTGATTCCTCTTCTCTGACACCATTCTTTCAGGAGCTAAGTAGGAGTTATATGGTGAATTACGTGGGATGAGGAAGTAGATGATAAACGGGAACAGGTGTAAGGAGGCAAGGAGCCCAAATAAGTCCAGGACAAGGGGGAAACTGAAGGAGTCAGGACAGAACGAGGGCAAGGAGATTACACACTGTTGTGGAAATAGAGCAGGCTCGTCTTCATCGTCCAATCCCTTTGGGGACAAAAAGACTGAAAGTGAACAAACACCAGTCGTTCCCTTTGAGGCCTTTAGGGACTGTACGTCAAATAGAACTGGAAAAAAAAACAATCAATCCTCACCTCTCAGTCTTTATCGTCTGTTTCTACAGTTGACCCCCGGGGCCGCCATCCCCCCGAGCGTAGACTGCTCATCCTGGGGGGCCCACAGTCCGGCAAAACCTCCACAGCCAACACCATCCTGGGGGATGAGGTCTTTGATGCCGGGACAGAGACGACACACAGCAATGTGGGCCACACGGAGATGTACGGCCGACGTGTCACCGTGGTGGATACCCCACCCTGGGCGATCCCAGTCGACGCTGACGATGACACAGAGGAAAACAATAACGACAACGCTGGCGCAGAGTCGGACAATCCGCCACGCCCCGTGCCGAGCCTGGACAGTGAGGGGCCCTGCATGGGGGCCATTCTGTGCCCCCCCGGACCTCATGTGATACTGCTGGTGGTGTCGGTCACTCAGCCTTTCACCGACATCCACAGGAGGGCGGCGGATGAGCAGCTGGGGGCCCTGGGTGGAGGCACTTGGAGGTACTCTATGGTGCTCTTTACCGGGGTGGACAAGCTGCCCAAAGGGGTCTTCATTGAGGAGCACATATCCAACACTGGAGAAGCCCTGCAGTGGTTGGTGGAGAGGTGTGGGAGCAGGTATGTTGTTATCTACCCCCAAACTACCCCAAAGTTCCTACCCTTGGTCAGTTCACCAAATTGACCTCCCCCTGCCCGCCCATGTGGGAAAACTTTGCAGCAACAGCCTGGCAATAAGTAATTCCATGACACTGGGAACTGTAAGACAAACAACTTGAGATAAATATTAAATTTAAAAATCATTTGGAGGATTTTGTGGAGTCGTAGCCTGAACCACGTGACGTCTTTAGAATACACATTAATCTCTGACTAACTTCTCCCAAGTACATTGTTTTTTTCCCAAGGAATTTACTTTGTTAAACATGTAAGTTATCAACCCTGTCCATCAATGACACCCGTCAGAGCTCCATAAAGACAGACTGGAATGTTGTGATGTAATCTCAGAAGTTTCCTGTTTCCTGTGTTGACGAGAAAACACAGATGTTAACATACAGTACAACCACGTCTTTCTAGGTATCACGCCTTTGACAACACACTCAAAGAGACCGACGATACCACACAGGTACCTGAGCTGATGGAAAAGGTGGAGGAAATGATCACCGACAACCAAGGTTAGCGTCTCACCTGTGGAAATAGTTCAGGTTTTTGATCAGAGCCTGATTGTTACAGCTCGGTCCTGTGTTTATTGCATTATTGATGAATAAATTGAGCTGTACCACTGTATGAAAACAGTCGATGAATCTTTAATGGATGCTGTTGTGCAGGCTGGTACTTTGAGGTGAACGAGCTGATTTTACTGGAGGAGGAACAGGCCAGGAGAGCCCTGGAAGAAGAGCGGATGAGGATGGAGGAGCACGCCCGACAGAGGGAGCAGATGATTGGAGGACCTCCCAGAGGTGTGTGTGTGTGTGTTTTGGAAAAATCTCAGTGGGCCCCATAAGATAGATTATTGTGTTGTTGTTCTTGGTAAAAGAGTTAAGAATGTGGTTTGATTAGAATCCCACAGTTTGACAGCTGTATGTCCACATTATCAAGAGAAAGAATGAGATGTTAGACACCATGGCTACTGAAACAACTTGATATCTTGTAGATGGATTTAATTTGTTTGTGGGGAATTACTATTGGTATATGGGAATCAATTGGTTATTGTTATGATCCTGAGTAGGTTCAACAAAAGAATGGAAGAGTCCTTACAAAATAACTGCAATGTGTGTGTGTGTGTGTCTGTGTCTGTGTCTATTTGCACACGATCTTGTGTTCCAGAAAAACAGCTTACTCATTTCTGCTCAGTCAATACTCATTTTCTCTTTTCCAAGAACCTCTCTGTCTCCTTCCCTCCTAAGTCTTTCACTTTCATCACCAGAGCTCCGGTTGCTTTTGTTGGGCTGGAAGGGTGTTGGAAAGAGTTCTGTGGGGAACTCCATCCTGGGGCGTCGGTATTTTGAATCAGGCCAGGAGACGGATCTGTGCCTCCGCAGGCAGGCCCTCGTATCAGGCCGCCGGGTCACTATAGTGGACACCCCAGGTTGGGACTGGTTCTCAGTGGGGCGTACACCTAAACGTATTCGCCAGGAGTCCCAGCGGGGCGCCGCCCTCCTGCGTCCTGGACCTCACACACTGCTGCTGGTCCTCCCCGTCGTCTCGTCCCTCACGGCCAGGAAGAGGCGAACACTCCTGTCCCACTTAGAGACGCTGTTCGGGGAAAACGCCTGCCTCCACACCATGGTGCTCTTCAGCTGTGGTGATTGGCTGGGTCGCACGCCCATTGAAGACCACATCCTCAGAGGTGGGCGGGAGCTGCAGAGACTACTTGAATACTGTGGAAACTATTACCACGTCCTGGACAGTAAGACCCCCGGGAAAGACCGCAGCGTGTCGGTCCTGCTGGACAAGATCGAGGAGATGATCCGGGAGAACGGAGACAAGGCCTTCCTCCCCATTCAGATCGAGTGGCGTAAGTCATAGAGTCAATGTTATCACCTTTATCATCATCATCATCATCCTCATCATCTACATAGACTAATTAAACTGTGCTGCCTTTGACAGTGAGCGAGGAGAGCTCTTACTCCTCTGACAACACAGAGCCTGAAGATGACTGTAGAGGATGCCAGCTGCAGTGATGGACCTGACCTAAAGGACAAACATCACCTCATGTAACACTAACCTCATCTCCTTTCAACTCTGTGGAGCTTTAGGGAAAAACAAAACTGCAGACAGTTCGGAGCAAGTGTCTCTAACTGAGTGACTCCAGGTTAGAAAATGAAAAGAAGTGAACTGTAAACAATCTCATCCGAGACTTAATGTTCATTCACAAAAGCCTGGTTCAGACCTGAGAGGAAGAAGAGAGGGGTTTTTACCTCCTACCTCTGGTGAAGGAGAGCTGAGTAAAGAATTACTCACTGTTTGATCTACAAAGATATTTTTTTGAAAGTAAAAAGTAAAAAACGACAGGATCTGTCAAAGTTAAAGGAACAGGACGACATTTTCTGTTCTCTACAGAAGGAACGTAAAATATTCCTCCCAAACGTCTGATTGGTCGAGCTCAGGGTCTTCAGCTGATTCATTCAGAGCAAAATCTGGCTCGATAAATAAAAGACAAATCAATGAAAGTTAAAAATGTACAGACGTGGGTCACATAATAATTAAAATCCTTTTTTTTCCTGTGAGTATTCGCTTCGCAACGAAAAAGGGGCTCAGTCTTTACGCTGAGGTTAAAACCGATGACGTTGATATTCTTGTGCCAAAAAAAAAGTGCTAAAACAGTCAGGAAATAAATAAATATATATGTATATTTTTTACCTCGCTTTCCCTGTAGCATTCAGGCAAAAGCTGAGCTGAGTTGAAAACCCCCCAAAGCTGTTCTGAGACTGTGCAGACCTCAGATCCCCGTGGAGCTGCTCGGGCTGGCTCTGCCTCCCCGTTTGTTGTCATGAATATGGTGCATTATTGACAAGGTTACACTTGGCCACGTGCCTCAGCATCAAAGCTGTAGAGCGGCCCTCCGGCTGGGCAGCATCCTCTGGGCTACATCAAGGCTTAAGCATGCTACAAGCAACAACATGACCTCATTCTCATGAACATAGGGCTTCACTACCTTCGACATCTGTGACACATTGGTCCCTGTCATTTGATGGGACGCAACAAAAGAAGAAAAAAAAACTCAGCTCTCAGAGGCATGTTAAGACACCGCATGCAGCTAAACCAGTGCCTACGTAGACGAAGGCAGACTCACCCCTCGTTCACTTGCTTGAGCAGGTTTATGTAAATTGCTGATACAACATAACAACCCTCTACTTTTAACAGCTGCAAAAAAAAGAAAAGAAATAAGTAGGAAAGAAAGAATTCACACACTTAAACATATAAGAGGCGAGGTTCTTTCAAGGACACGGACCACTGCACATTTCTTTTTCCCTTTTTTATCCAACCTGTCATATTAAATAGTGGAGAAAATAATACTTAGTGCATTAAAGTGTCAAGTGCTGAAGGCTCAGCCTGGAGTAAAACAAATGTGCAGTTGTCCCAATGCTTATGGTCTGGACCGTCGAGTGTGTGGCCAATACCACTGTCATGCTGTAAAGTTTGATTAGTTAAAGAGAGAAAAAATATATAGATATAGATATATAATAAGAAAGCCTATAAAAATTCCAGACAGTGCTTCTTTTGTGCTTTACCGACTCTGTGCTTCATCTTTAGTGAAGTAGGCTGCTGCAGCACTTAGTGTGACGAGCATGACTTTTTCAAGGTATTCATTCGGAGTCTTAGTCCCAGCTCCACCTGTGAACCTGTGGTGTAGGCAGTGTACAGTATATTTACATTGTAAAATAAGAAATATATATTAGGCTTTTAGCAAAGCATTTTGCACTGTGTATCACTTTACCGTAGCCAAAGTGGCATTACTTCTCCCTGTGTGGTCCTCTGTACACGGTGACAGCATCATCTGTACTCTGTTCATCCCCCAGGCAACAAAAATAAAAAGGTGTGGATTCACTCATCTGTTCATTATTTATTTATTCTATTAACTCGTGCTTTTTTGTTCTTAAAATACAAAAATACATTTGCTATGCTGTCCTAAATTATGTTGACAGATGGGGACTTACGCAGTATTGCCACTAGGTGGGAATGTTGCTAGCAAAATGGTCTGCAACCTATTATCCCTCTACAGACGAGGCATATTTTTAAATTTACAAATTGTGCTAAATGCTAACTAAATCGAGTTTGATTACTAAATTATTGTCTGTAAATGAGAGAATTTTTTAAAATCCTAAAAAACTAATGATTAATAAAATATCAGAAATGCATTATTGCTGTTAGAAAGTTGACATAAATGTTGCAAAAGAACTAGAAGATAACAATAACAATAATAAGTTAGCCCAAAAATTGTCGTTTTTCTAGTGAATACAAATTAGCTTAATGCTAACATAAAGACAGTAAGAGATTGGCATAAAGTATGGGGGGGTGCTATGGTAATTTCTAACATTAACACAAAGACAGCTCATTGTTATGCAACAAAACTGAGGTCATCATTTTTGACCTTGACTGTACGCTGTCCTTAACTGATACCGATTGAGAACGGAACATTGTGTTTTTCATAACGTAGTAATCTAAATTCTTACTTCGTGCTCATGACTACAGGTATTTGCATGGCACTGTAATTAAAGAGTAACTTGTGCGTCTGTGTATTATTTTGAGTGTTGATTATAATTAGCAACGTGTTCATTATCAAGATTACTATGTTCTGCGCGTCAAAAAGTGAAAATTAGCCTGGAGCGAGACGTGGTTTAAATGGTTTTCTCTGTGTACATAGGTCTCCAAACTGATTTAACTCCACATATAGATCATCGTGTAACTATCTGGACTAAGGCCTGGACCATTTACTGTGTGGGCATCTTTCACTGAATGCTCCCAGTTTCCTTTAAATTATTGTTTCTGGTCTAGCAGTAATCAGCAGTTTCATGCTCCCCTCACTTTCTCCCACAGGCTGTAACAAGCATAGGGTTTTTCCTAAAAGTTCACTGCAGCGTCACAGAGAACAGTGGAGGGAAAAAAACATGCATAAAATGGCATCATTGTTTCTCCATCAAATAGCATTTTAACTTCACGTGACTGTCAGTTGATAGAGAGAGTCATGCATTGGCAGTACTTACTGGTCAGGTGGCCTTCATTATCCTCATCCCTGTGTGTGTGTACGTGGGATTGAAATTCAAAGAGGATCCGCTCCAGACCTTAAACATTTATGGAATGACATTGTAAATTATGATCAGATGAGAGGAAACATCTTTGTGATTAAAGTAATGTTCTAAACAGATTAAACAACACTGTGATCCTGATAGGGCTGTGTTTCTGGACTGAGCCTAGTATCAGTAGCTTCTCTGTAGAGTAAAACTCTGGTTTGGTGTCAAGGCTGGTGTGTCACTTGACCTTAAACAGGTCAGGTGATCACAAAAATATCCCATGGTCACAGATTGCCATGCTATGCTCTGTGGGGTAGCCAGGCTGCCACCCCTCTACAGCCAGACCAGAGGGCCTGTTTGCTAGTTACAGGAAGGTGGCCCCACCTGTGATCACGTTCAGGGCTGTGGGAGAAAAAAAAAATCACATTTGATTTGATCCCTTGATATTTAAATTACCTCCATTATGGCCCAGGGGTTGGCTCTCTGCACTTCCTTTAAGATACCTGTATCAGAAAAAGATATGGAGGGTATACATATATTATATGTAAACGTGCTGAAAACTATTGTCCAGCAATGTTTAATAAAGTCAAATGTATGGTACTGAGACATTCAATGTTGTCAATATTTTGTTGTACATTTTATATGTCATGTCACCCCTGCTGCACATCCTCTAATTATTAAATAATTTCAAACAATGAATAGAGTGCTAAGCAAAATCCAACTCTATGAAAGGTCACCTTGTTCTATAAAGGACTGAATGTAGCTAGTTCATATGGAGATTAAGATATAAATGTTATTGAACTAATAAAATTTCCCACATCCCACCAAGAAATCATAGATAAACAGAAATAGACTTTAAAAAGTTTTATTAAGAGCATAATACAGGAGTGTGATTACACTTGTCTTTAGACTTTAATAAGAAGACTTACTGGCAAAAAAAATATGATATATACATTACAAGACACAGCACAAAAGTTAATTGAATATTTGTTTTTTAAATTTATGCAAATACTCTAAAACATGAGAAAACTACATGAAATACCAATATGGATTAGATGGGAATTTTTCTTATTTGCATGTTGTGTAATAGAATACATGTTGTAATACATCTTTGTAGTCAGAAATACCCCCCACTTCCTAAACCCTTAAAACTTCAGGATACTTCCTAATCTGCCACTTTCTGGCCCGACCTCTAGAGGTCAGGACTGAGGCCCTTCTTGACCCTGGCCAGGCGAACCTCCTCCATTAGCTCTTTGAGGTACTCGATCTCCCTGGCCATGGACTCAGCCTTCTCCTTCAGCTCTACATTCTTCCTCTCCAGAATGGTGTGTTCTGTAAGAAGTGCTTCCTGCTCTGCCCTTTTCTTTTGCCGGTACCGAGTGGCAGCCGTCTTATTCTGCTCCATCTTCTTTGATTTCTTGTCTCTTGGTGCCTTCAGAGAGACCTTTTCATCCCATCCAGATCCTTGGGGGGAAGTGATGTCATCATCATCATCATCGCTATCACAGGGGGAGGATGGACTATCTTTGTATGGATCAGGGTATGGTCTGGTTCTGGATGACCTTTTAGGAGGGGTAGTAGGAGGGGATGAGCGGATGACCTCTGATGTTGAAGCAACAGTGGTTGGGGTGCTGGTTGTAGTGGTGAGTCCCATTTCATTTCTGGGAGCCAATACTAGGACAATGCGAGTTGGTGAAAGGGACAGAACGACCCTCTGTACCTGAGGTACAACAGTGGCCAATACTGGCTTTACCTCACTTGCAGAGACATCCACTTCACTGCCGAGGTCCAGGGTGTACACAGGGGAGGAAGACGAATCAATCACAAGAGCAGTTGGGTCTGGGGAAGCAGGTTCAGACTTGATCTCCAGTTCTTGCTCAGGCTCTGGGACAGATAATGGTGAGGAAGGAGAATGTAGCTCATCGACCAAGGACTCAGAATCAGCTATGGAAATGACTGAAGCATTTTCACAAACAGTGCAGTCTGTGGTAGGAGAGGTAGAAGGAGGAGGAGCTGAGGGATGGCATGGGAGCTCAGGAGACGAGAGGGTGGGCACAGGCAAGTCGAGCTCCATGGGGCAATTCAACGAAGCCACGAGATCTTCTGTAGAGGGCTCTTCGGTGGGACTGCAGGAGCCAATCAGTGATTCCAGGTCAAACTCATTCAGATCCATCTTCTCAGTCATCCAGTCAAAGTCACCAAATGCATCCTCTGAAAATTAAATAAAAAATTATACAGTTAAAGTATTGCCTGTAATATAAAAGCCCATTTAAGTGTGTTATGAATGTGATATTTAATTCTTAATTTTACAATTATTACCATTCCTGTCATCTGAGACTGAGTGATCACTTCTCAGCTGATCAGGGTGGCCCAACCAGTGCAGGGGGGGCAGGTCAGATCCATCCCCAGCTTTGTCCTCATGAAAAGAGACAGCTGGTGGAGAAGGAGGAGGGGAGTAGAAGGGAGGAGGGGATGAGGAGGAAGACAGTGATGAGGAGGTGAGTGGTGACGCAGGGGACCCACCCCCCTCTGCTGAGGCTCCTTCTCCCTCCTGGTGTTCTTGATCAGGGTTGTAGAAAAGGGACCCCATGTTGTCAGCCATGGGAGAGGAAGGCCCCCAGAGAAGGGCCTCCATGTCTTCCAGGCCAAACTGTGAGCTTGTCATCATCGTGGTCATAGTGGCTGTTGTTGGTCACAAATGGACTGCGTGACGATGAAAGAAGAGCTTTAAATTCTTTTATGCTGTCGAATGCAGCAGTGCTGAGGGTTTCCACAAAGGACCTGGTAAATGGCAAAAAAATAAAACATATTTAGTGAATACAAAAGCATTAATATTAATAATAAGTACTAACACATCACAATGCTGACACTGTAGCAGAAATAACTGCAGTTTAATTTAGACTTTAGGCGCAACACTGCCCCCATCCCTGCAATGCACCTACTGCAAATCACGTGACTGACAGTATTACGGCTGCTGACGTCATTTGGCTTCTAAACAAGGTCAATGAGTCCGCCTTCCCCTATACCACTCCTTCGTCCCCATCCGCCATTTTCAGCAACAAAGAACCATTTTCTGACCGCCACGTTGGCATATGCCACCAGCATTTTACCAACATTTAAATTGACATAGTTGCCAATGACATTTAATGAAACTATGTTTAATTGTGTCTCTTAAAAAACGACATTTTACATGTGGTATATGTCAATGTTTAGGTTGTATTTGCTTAACGACAAGCCAATGAAAAGATATACGTAAAATACATTAAATCACAATTACTCGACGGCATGGTAAAAATACACGGGTTAAACTCTAAAGGAAACCTTTAAAGGACCTGAAAATAACGATATTTTCCGTTTAGTGATAGCAGTAACGACAGGCCGCTGACGCGCGGCCGCCGTCAACTTTCGACGACAAAACAAATATTTTTTTTAAAAAACACAGTACTTACGACATTTTGCTGGATTAGAAGTGACTCAGTGCACTGGTTGGATGCACTGTTTTGCTGGTAGCTGCTAGGTCGCTGCACACGTTTACACTGCCATTTCGGCGAAACAGACCGAGTCCTATAATGTTATGCTGTTGTTGACTGTCCGGAAGGAAAATGGCGCGCGTGGTTCTGCAGTGCTGTAATATTGAGCAGAAGCACCGACGTATCCTTCCGCGCAGCGTACTTTATCAGTGCGCGTGCTTTTGTAGTGCGCATTCCTTTATTACGCGTATGACTTGAGACTGAGTTTTCTCATGAATAAACGTGAAATTGTCATTTTGTTAACCGTAATGATAAATTCCATTTGTTTTTTGTACTGTAGCTACAATCAAACACTACTTAATAGAGCACACTAGGTTTAAAGGCATGGTAGACTTTTCTTATAAAATAGCTATAGCATCATTTCAAAATCAAACAACCTAAGCCTTTCTAATGTCTCAAAAAGTATACAGTTGTTTTTATTTACTGGGTTGTGATGTTGAGTCTGTATTTTGTTGTTAAAAATAAAAAAATAAACCTCATTGGCTGGGCTAAAATCATTGTAGATAATACATGCCTATCATGTCTGTCCCAAGAAACACATATATCTCATTCATATCCAGGTGATAAAAGCTAGTCTTCAATGCTATTATCGATGTAATCCATCAATGTTGTTATATCAGATTACTCAACATAAGGACCAGTCCATTATAACTGTATAGCACCTCTTGTAGAGTAGGAAGTAGAACTTTTTTTTTCTCTTTAATTCATCCAGAATAATGAAAGAACTGCAGTCAACTTATTTAATAATATAAATTTTATTACTTAATATACAATGTAGACTTTTATTGCAACAATTACGCATATCACAATCTCTTTTTTGTTCTTTGTCACATACACATAAGCACACACATACACAGTTCACTTGATCAACCATAGATTGTATATAAGAAATGGACAGACTGTTCAGTTTTTCATGCTGTCTATGGGGTCAACTAAACATTTCCCACATTCGATTCAGGTGCTCCAAATGATCCTGCAGATTTTTCGCTAGTAGGTGAACCCTGCCAGAAAACCTGCTCTTGTTGGACTTCTTCAGTATTTGATCATCCTCACCTGTGAAGTATTGATCCAACTCCCTGGTAAAATCTCTCAGTAGTTTCTCAGATGACAACCCTTGTGAAGTTCTCTTTTCATTGTCTATCTCTCTAAACACAGTCTGTGACAAATGGGCCACCTTTAGAGCGTCAGTCTCGGCTCCTGCCCTCTGCAGCCGGGGAATGTCATGCCTTCGTAGGTCATTCATCCCAGATAGTATAAAATCCAGGCAACTTTCCAGGTCAACAACATTTGACTTGTAATCATATACTAATTTCACAACTGTCATCTTATTCACAGTCTTCTTGTTGCACTTGGCAGTGTGAGCACCCATCCCTCCAGCAGATGCCACCATGCCAGCGCCAACAGCTGTAGCAATAAGGGAGGCCCCCATTGTCACAGGCGCTAAGGCAATACCCAACACTGCTGTCATCCCCCCTACAGCACCTGTGGTGCCACCAGCAATGCCCATTGTCTTGGTTTTTTTCTTCATCTTGTCCAAGCTGTTGGAGATGGCGTTAAACTCTGTGATGATGTTTCGCATGCATTCGCTGCGTTTCATCATTAGGAGGTTGAAGAGGCGCAGAGCCTTGCTCACATTCATTGCTCTCTGATTGAATGATCTGCATGGGCACAGGGACAAGATCTGAGATTAACAACACACTACATACAAGAAATAGACTGAGCATAGTCTGAGTGAAAGAGGAGGCCCTCGGAACTTCCAGAGCTCTGCTGGTTTCACATTTATCTTTTTTTTTCTTTCATCGGTGGCCTTAAAAATCTAAATTTTTAAGTGACTCATTACCTGATTTCTTCTTCTATACTGAGGCCATAGAGTGATGGTGTCACATTAGATTCTGTTGTAAAGACAGATGTCAGAATTTAATACACTGTAGAGATTTCAATGTACATAATAATACCCTAAATAATACCACAGGGAACTAAGAATAAAAAAGAAAATGTGCTCTTACTTGATATCCTTGCCAGCCATCTCAACATCACAATGGTTTCCTGTGTAACAAAAAAATCAATTATCATAAATCATTTCTCAATCATTTTCACCCTGATTTTCAGTGCAGTATATGTTTCCATTTTCTTTGAACCACAAAAACAATGGCCTCACGTCTGCTTCTCCTCTGGACTGACGAGAAGAGAAACAGTTACTCTGGAAGCGAAGTCCGGAACGAGGTACTGACCCCCCTCTTGTCTGTTTAATGTAAACAAAAAAAAAAAGGAAAATAGAACACTGAGATACATAAAATAAGAATACACACCACACTGTAGTATGTGAATGTGTGTATTTAACTCACCAGGGTGTCTTCATCCTCAGGGAGGACGTCCAGGTAAGGGCGATGCTCAATTTCACTGTACACTGATTCAGACAACGTCGCAGTTGTTGATGGTGGTGGTGGTGGTGGTGGGCTGAACATGCAGGGCGGAGGTCTAGGCTGCCAATGGCGTGACACATACACTTTTATTGTATTTTTTTAAATCTCAATTTAATCACATTGTTGACATTTTAGTTTTTACAACATTTGTCACACATTTCTGTACAACTTACAAGTGACTGAGTTTTCTAAAAGCTGTAATTCTGTGGCTCCTACCTGTGGAGACGAGGGTTCATAAATAGGGCACTGACTGAGCCGAGGAGGAACTGCAGGTCGGTCAACATTATCTGAAGTCTTTAAATCAAACAGGTTTACTCTTCGATTTCACATACCCAAAGGGAAATATAAATATAATTATATAAATATAATTACTTCAAACTATAACTTAACTTACCACAAAGGTCTGGCAGTAGTTCAACTGTCCTCCAGGACTTTTGTCTTGCTGGGAGCCGATTGTTGACTGTTGAGAATATGTCTACACAGTAAGAAAGAAAATAATATGAGAGGAAAATAATCTGTATATGGTTTATTTCAAAGTAAACTTCTACAACATTTACTTTCAGAAGTTATATGTTATATGTGGAAGAAAAAAAAACACTCACTCTATGTCGCATCTCTTTCAGAGATGAGGGTCTGTCATAATAAATGGATGGAAGAGGGGGCCGCTTGGGTGATGGGAGGGTTTTTGGTTTAGAGCTGACAGCTGAAGGCTAAAGCAAAAAATAATTTCAGATTCTACATCACAACAATTTATATTTCTTTATACTAGTCATAAAGGACTAGGGGTTAAAATAATAACAATAATAATAAAGGTCCATGGGAACTTGCAATGGTTTAGAACGCATAATAAATAAGAACAGATTTCACACAGGTTTTACAAAGGGGACAAAGACAACAATAACAAGTTGTCAGCATTAAACAGAGACAGTACAGTGTCAACAACAATGGCCTGA